GCCACGTCACAGTGCCAGATCAGCAGTGCCACGTCAGCAGTGCCACATCGCAGTGCCACGTCACAGTGCCAGGTCACAGTGCCACGTCAGCAGTGCCACGTCACAGTGCCAGATCAGCAGTGCCACGTCAGCAGTGCCAGGTCACAGTGCCACGTCAGCAGTGACGTCAGACACAGTGCCACGTCAGACACAGTGCCACATAAGCAGTGCCACATCAGCAGTGCCACGTCAGACACAGTGCCATGTAAGCAGTGCCACATCAGCAGTGCCACGTCAGACACAGTGCCACGTCAGACAAAGTGCCACGTCAGCAGTGCCACATCAGCAACATGATGGGTCTGCCAGGGCAACTGCCCAACAAGTCCCTTGCCGCCTACAAGCAGCGGTTCCACGCTCAGATTGAGGCTGAGGAACAACACCAGCTGGCAGCCGAGGCTGCCCGCGTACAGGCTGAAGAGGCAGCAGCAGCAGAGCAGCTGCAACTACAGGCCGACGCAGACGCAGATGCCCAGGCTCGCCGAAAGGAAGCCCAGGATCTGCTGCAGCGGCATGAAGCCAACAGCATCGACAGACTCAGGTTCTGGCACTTTGAACCGAACGGCGACGAGGCAACACCGAAAGAGAAGCACAAGGAGTTCGTCTCCAAACTCGTGACACGGTTGTTGTACGCTTGCAACTACCAACGGTCAGACTTGGAGAGACAGTACCAGGACCTGACGCAACAGCATCAGGAGTTGGCAAAGCTCCGCCGCATGGTGCAGAGCCACGAGGATGCAACTCGGGCACTCAATGCCCGATTGCTGGACCTGGAACAGGCTGTACCAGGACCAGCTGCTGGGGCTTCCAGCAGTGCACCCTCTAGCCGCCAACTGGAGGACCGCGTTGACCACGTAGTGGCAATGCTCAGCGACATCAGCACTTTCGTTGCGCTGACCACCACCATCAGCAGTCAGCTGCATACATTGAAGACCGAGGTCCAGCAGTTGCAGTCGACGAACGCTGACGACAATCCGAAGATGTACAAGATGCCAACTTTCAATCTGGAGAGGTTCGACGACTACACGCAGCAGGATCCGGTCCTCAGGTGGGAAGCATTCACAACGCAACTAAGGATTCTGCCCGTAGCCAAGCATGCGTACATTGGCGCCCTGTTCTTGAACTCAAAGCGCGGATGCTAGACCTGGTTGAGCCACCTGGCAACCTCCCACGACGTCGACGTACCAGACTTGAAGGACAAAATCACATGGGAGGAGCTGACACGGCTGTGGAAGAAGCGATTCATCGTCGACGACGCGCCGACACTCGCCATCAACCGTTTGTTCACCATGTCACAGGGCAACACTGCAACACGGGATTGGCTCACAGAGTGGCAGAAGATTGCGACAGTGCCCAATCTGGATCTGCCTTTCACTCATCTCAGACGTGAGTTCTACAACAGGTCCTGTGTTGCATTGAGCCAGGCCCTTGGTGATCGCGAGCAATACTCCACTTTCACCGAGATTATCGACAAGGACGAGAGAGATCATCAAGACTTAAAGGTCAGCTGCACACGAGAGATCAACATGGCAGCCGACCTATGTGGAGAAGGCACGAACTGGTCCGCGACAGCAGCACTTCGCTGCAGTCCAGCAGGACAGTGGAGATAACCCAGCAGCCACTCCAGCATCAAGTGACGGAGATCAGGTGGCTGCTGTCCAGTCGCGAAGCAACAACAAGTCCCACAACAATAGGAAGGCGAAATCCGCATCGCAGGCCGGAAATGGACAGCCAGTACAAGTTCCATGGGTCAAGTTTGGCTTGACCGAGGTGGAGTACAAGGTCCGCGGCCGCTATGGCAGCTGCTATTGGTGCAACAGCACCAAGCACAAGACCTCCCTGTGCCAGGATCAGGGCAAGGAGGATGTGCGACCCCGCCTCAGCTTGGGAAACTGAGCTCCGCGGAAGGTGAGGCGACTCCACCTTCTACTCTGCCAGATTCGGCCGCCTTGCTAGCGGCCTCCTGCACATCTGGGGAGAACGCGAATGTCACAAGTTTTCGTTACACTTACGAGGACTATGCTGTCCACTTGGTTCCACCGCTGGACCAACCACTCCACGTGCAACAATCTACCGCATGCACGGTTTCATCACCATCGGCAACCGATTCGGCAGCTTCGCCGCCATCTATCGTCGGGGATTCATCGTCGTGGTCAAGACTTGAGGTRCTCGACCCAYTGACGTWCAMGGACTTCCAGTGGATGCCCGTTCCCCCGACCGGACGATTGCCGAAACCGCATTGCAATGTGCTCATGGCACAACTGCGAGATTACTTGCACACTGCAGTATCGACTCCGTTGATGGACGCCGGAGTAGAGGTTGTCGACCTTCACGTTTACATCACGAAGATCGACCGCGAGTTCAAGACGCAACGGTACGACGACATCGACGCACCATTGCTATACGTACGCATTCAGATCGGAGAGGCGACCTGCAGTGCCTTGATCGATTGCGGAGCATCTCGCAACTACATCAGCCAGGACTTCATGGTGCGCTCCGGCCTTGACCCATGCGTCCGGAGGAAGGCCCAGCCTACGCAAGTCACATTGGCGGACGGTCACACGCACAAGTCAATCGATCGGTGCATTGACAGCATCCCAGTGTACTTTGCCCCTCACGCAAGTGAGGCGGTGTCCTTCGACATTCTGGACACCAAATTCGACATGATCTTGGGCATGCCATGGCTGCGAAGCAAGGATCACCCGGTGAACTTCTTCAACCGCACCGTTCACGTTCGTGACCGGAACGGAGTATTAGTTCCATGCACGGTGCCTCTTCCTCATCCTTCAATTAGCTGCCACGTGGTATCCGCCGCAAGCATGCGAGCTTCCATCATCAGAGAAAACATCGAGGAGATGGGGGTGTGTTTTCTCCACGCCCTCCCGCCCCATGACGCCTCATCTACGGACTCACCTTCGGATCCACACATCACCGAACTTCTCGACGCCTACAGCGACGTGTTCGAAGGCCCGCACGGAGTAGTACCGGATCGACCCATCTGCCACGAGATCATCCTCGAGGACGGGGTCGTACCTCCGCGCGGTTGCATCTACCGAATGAGCGAGGAAGAGTT